AGCCCAACTGCTCCTACTTTGTTTTCCTTGACATAAGCAGGGTGAGGAAACTGGGGAGCCAGTATTAAGCATAGTTTTCTACTACTCTAACCAATTACAGTCAATTGCTTCCAAACAAGCCATGATTAAAAGTGGGTTTTAAACTTCCAGTTTATACACATCATTGTTTATGAAGCCTGGACTGATGGCTTACCAGAATGTGCTAGCAAGGCCAATGTCTTGTTAAGGTGGGTCACCAGCTAACCTACCTAGTTGCTGACCAGAGCTCTTCATAACTGGGCATCCAAAGGGAAATATATCATATAGTTTGTTTAGCAATGCAAGTGAACCAAGCAGGTATCACAGTGGGAATTTCTGCATAAGTCAAGTATGATTCTTTTTTAAATAATATGTGCATTCCAGAGAATGCTATCTTCTGAGCTGCCTAAATAGACTGCAACTACAACTTGTGAAAGGCACCAATATAACATATTATGTCAAAGATTTTTTTAAAGGGAAAGGTGGATGTCCACTTCACAGACTTACTGAGATTTTATGCAGACAGGCAAAGATTCTGAGAGTTGCTTCTTTGATATAACTTTGCACTTTGTGACTCCAAGTATACAGCATGTATCTCACTGACATTGGACATAAAACCTGTGGGACGTCTAATGGTTAAGACTACTGACTTCAAAGCCAACTTCTGGTCTCCTAGAGTTTTTTGGTTAGACACTACAACAGGAGTAGGAAACATAGCCCCCTCCAGATACTTTGCACTACAACTCCCATTAGCCCCAGAAAGCATGGCCAATGCAAGAAACTGTAGACCAAAACCTGTAGAAGGAAGCAGGAAGAAATCTTCTCAGTAGCTGATACTTTGAGTTTCTTGCAGAGAAGCAAGCTGGGACCTTAAGAAGCTACCAAACACATGGACACAATAAAAATAACGTGAGCCTTCATAAACAGATTTTGCTAGATGCATATTATTGAATTGTCTATTGGTCTGTAGCAAAAGGGCATTTAGACTATGTCTGTACAACCTGCCCCCCGAGATATATTTGATAATTAAGATCTCAGTATGTATCCCAGATCAACTCAACATTTTATTTAGCTGCACAGGAACAACCACATAACTACTAGTTGCACAAAATAATATACTGCCATGAATATTTAATAAAAATTCTCTAATCCGCTGGAACTTGGCATAGACTGACTGAAGATTATTAAAGTAGGAAGTGCTAATGCCTTAAATTGGGGGCTAATTAGTTCCGGCTTCCACAACCTGGTACCCTCCAGATGTGTTGGGAGTTGCACATCTGGAGGGCATCAGGTAGGGAAGGTTGAATTAGTTCCTCTCTTGGGTGAGAAAAACCAGCCTTTTCTGCAGAGTAAAAAGAAAACAATATCAAACTGGTATGGCCAAGCCTCAGCCATTTTCACTTTGCATGGAGCACTCAGCACCAGAGACCTGTCGGAGAACTTTCAATCTACATGCTCCAAGGGTATTTAGCTCAAAAGAACCCTGGACACATTCTGGTCTCCACTGTCTCAGCTAACATAATAAAGCAAACAGATGCACAATGCTTTTGCTACTGATGCAGGAAGTTATCTCAGGATATTTAAAATTTGATCTTCCCTCCAAACATCCAGCTAGTTAAGGGCAGGAAACACATCCAGCAGCAGTACTAAGTTAGTGATCTATTTAGGTACCCATCCAAAACAGAGCAAGTGCTAGCTCAGCCACTGTCCATCCATGTTGTGTTAAGAGCCCTACCCCAAAGCAGCCCCCAAAAATAAAAATATCCAGGTACTTGCTGACAGCAAGCAAACAATTTAAGGCTGGCACATACATACATGCTGCCTGTTCTTGGAAATTATGTGCACTATATTCCAATCCTATTAAAGAAGAAACACTAGACAAGCATAAGAAAGATGAGGAGAATCCCGCTCTTATTTCAACAGCATGCCCATTCTTTTCCTAGCTTCTGTATCTCCTACCAGATGAAGCAGAGGCTTCTTATCATCACCAGATTCAAACCACTACAAGGTTTTTGATGTGGAATTATTTCTGAAAAACTTGGCCAATCCTTCAAATGCCAAATGTTTGGAAAACTTTGGAAAGGACTTTATGTTTTGGAAAGCTGGTATATTTTGCAGGCATTCAGGACTGGCACAGCACTGCCAAATTAAGGCTACAACCAAAACTGAGGAAGCAACATATACACAAACCAACTCCCAGCTGTATTTCATTCTGTGCAAAGACAAATGACTAAATTCAGATCAGGTGTTGAGTGGGTGTCGCTGCATGCATTTCAGCTAAAACTGCTTATGTCTGGGTTTAAGTGCTGTCTCCCATAATTTCTAAATTACCTTCCTTCCTCTCCCTCCCCCAGCACAACCACAAATACACAGAGAAAAAATTATGATGAGGAACTACAAGGAATGTATTTGGGGGCAAAAAGTATTTTGTCCCTGAAACTGAACCATCTATTTGTTCAGGACCGTATCCTGCCACTTGAAAAACACATGCCAAGAAGTATCTTAAAGTGCAATTTTAAAAATGGGAGACAGCAGAGACCAGCTACTTAAGAGGAAACTTACCTAGGATAAACCGACATGAATAGGATGGTAAATCAATGGGCGATGAAGTAGCATAGCAGTAATACTTTCAATTTAACAAGATGTTCCAGATCCAAATGTCTGACTTCCTAATATTCCCTGGGATGATTTGATGGTTAAAATTATATCCCCCTCAGATCTACTCTCTTCAACTTTTGTGCTATGTCTCAGTGTACTAGGGACACATCTGAAAAACCTAAAATTAAGGCAAAGACAATTTGCAGCATGTTGACGTATTTTTGGCCCCATAAATATAGCTAAATCACAGCTCAAACCTTAAATACACAATACCATCTTGCTCTCTTGGTCTAATGAAAGATCTGCTTGATTCCCCATCATTGGGATTTTCTGAAATTCTAGAAACAAACAACGGTCTCATATATATATTCCTCTGTAAGAAGGAATTGCAGTCCTCAAATTTATAATATCACAGCACACCTTTATAGCACAGTCTATTACCATTTTACTATCATCGAGTTTTTCATTCTGCATTCACTTACTCAGCAGTTGCAGAATATAATTGAATGAAGATTGTAGAAGACACGTTCAGGTACATTGATGCGTGTAAACGCAGTTAGGTACTCTCACCCATTACTACTAAACAATCAGTAACATAGCTAAGTTTAAGCACCTTAGAAGATCCCAGCAGTGATCAGCCAGAGAGCAGCCCCTCTTAGTTTTAAGAGCCATTTATTTATTCTTCCATTTATATGCCACCTAATACCCAGGTCTCAAGGTGGCTTACAATAAAATGTTAAGGGGGCAGATGGCCAGGCACATTCATTGTCATAAGTTTTGCTTTTGTTATTTTTACTTTAAAATGTGTCAGGGCACCAGAAACAACCTCCATTTTATGATCACATGCTCTGATCAGATGGCTCTGTGGTGCTCCAATTTAAGTGAGTTTAAAATGCCTAACTGCATATGCTCAGAGGATTTCTTTTTTATCAGTTGGCTGTTTTTGTTGTTGTTCTGTTCCAACATATCAGGAATGTGGAAGCGGCAATCTTAAGCTTGGAATAGTGAGGCAGGAGAAGGAATGAAAGTTAATCCTTCTCAATGAAGACATACAACATAGCCAGCTAAAGGCTACATACTGTAAAACCATGAAGTCCAGAATCCAAAACGGTTTACCTGCTGCAGTGCTACATGAAACAGATAAGACTGGATTAATGTCACTAATAAGTGGAACTACTTCTTTATCATGGGATTTAAAATAAGCATTGTTCTGGAACTCTAGACCTATATGTATCGCTTGCAAAATTCTGCTTGCTTCAATGCATTTTCTCCCTCCTAAGACTGCACACCCCACAACAGGAAAAGGATGGCTGGAGAGCCTGTCATTCATTACATGTATCCTATGCTGCAAAGTTATGCATTCCCTCCAGCACTTGTTCTAAATGAGTTTGCACCACATGCCTGTATCAGTACTAATTAAACCCTTCTACTTCAGCAAGCATCTGAAAATAGACTTGAGATTGCTGAGTTGTAGCAGAGGCACAGAGAAATCTAACTTGCATCTTGTCAAATTTCCATTAATTGTGGCCATCTAATCCCAATAACTAGCCATCAAAAAGCTAGGAGGCTGCTGGACAACTATTATCTTTATTAGGACCAATTCTGTATCATGAGAGAGAGCAAACAAGCTTTCAGATTCTTCAGAACTCTTCCTTGGGCTGGATATGAAGAAAGATCCAACAAAGGAAAGGAAAGGAAAGGAAAGGAAAGGAAAGGAAAGGAAAATGCAACAGTGCAGAACATATGAGGGGAAAATCCATGAAGTGCAATTTCTAACAGTCTTAACATACAGCATATATAGGTATTTTCAAGATCTTATTAGGCAAGATCATGCTGGGTACAAAAAGACTACTGAGACAAAGAAACATTATGGTTCTTCCATTTTTGAGCAGAAACAGCTATCTGGATCTCTTTCCAGTATCAAGCAGAAAATGTGCATACCTTGTAAGGCATTAAAGCAAAAGAAAAATATGGTCATCCAGAAGAAATCCATAGTACTCCCACAATACTGAAAGATAATTTTAAGTGATGAACTCACAGGTAAAGAGTCAATAAAAGACATATTGAGCTGCATCATCTAGTGGTCTGGAGGACACATAACCCACATAAGAATAAAACTTTGAGGACTTCTTAATTCTGCCCAGTTTCAGCCACCACCTTTTTTTGACATCCAGGCTGCTCTGGGAGCTGGAAAGCATGCTTACTCATTTGTGACACTTAATTTGGTCTTAAAGAAAGCATTTTTGATCCTTTGGGATTTTTAAAATAATACTGGTACTAACAGACCAATGCTACTTCCTATAATGTTTTCATAGCCAGCATAAGCTTACAGACCCACAGTTGCAGGGCAGCCTGATGTAAAAGAGAAATGCAGAGCTTCTTACCTGCAGAACAGAGAGACTTGTTTGTCCAGAAAGGCTGAGTTTCTCTTGTTCTGATGGATATGCATTGAACCTGTGCTCATACAGCCACTCCCGGAGAATCTTCACAGACTCTTTTGGCAGATTACCCCTCCGTTTCCTCTTGCCAGGCTGTGAAGCATCCTGAGATATGTTTCCATCATCCTCCCCAAAGTCACTATCTGACATGGTGGAACTGCTGGCAGATCTGTCCTGGCTCAAGCCTGGAGACAATATGAAAAGACACACATTACATGAACGATTGTGAATGCACAATGATACTTTTCTCAACAGCCTGGCATAGTAGTAAAATGGAATGCACCAATTTTACACATGGATGTAGCTGGGCTAAGAACTGGCTAATTGCCCAAAAGCACCACTGGATTATGGTTTAATCATATCCAAAGCCAACCCTTACACCAGCTTTTACAACAGAGGTCCACAACTTGGTATCCTCCAGATGTTTGGGATACAAATTCCACAGTCCCTAGCCATTGACCCTGGTGGGTGGGGCTAATGAGAGCTGGAGTCCAAAATACCTGGAAGGCACCAGGTCACCAACACCTGTTCTGCAGCATGATCAAATAAGGAGCTATAATTTGTGTTGTACTTAACCCACAAGAGCCACAACATTTCAAATTACGGTATAAAGTTCTGCCCCTTACAACAAACATAGGAGGCAGAACCTCTTTATAATAAATTAATGAACTTATGTGTTTTACAAAAAAAACCATAACTATTTTTCCAAATATGGTTCTCATTTCTCAATGGCAAGCCCTGGCCATATCTGACAAAGTTACCACTCTTGGAAAAAGGGTCTCTTTTCTACTTTTCCACTGCAAATAAAGAAACTGACATTAAAGACTTTTTTCCACCGGAGAGGGGGGAATGTGACTGGAATCATGTACATCTAAAAAAAATCATTCATGAAAATGTTTGCATGTTTTTTAAAAAGGCCAAGTCTCACACACAAAAGGTGCATTTTTCTTTTGGGGGGGCGGTTCAAAGACTTATACATCACATCCTTAAGTTTCTCCCCTTAGTACAGGCATTTCCCCCGACATGCACACAGAGGTACAGACTTTAAAAAGGGGGCAGAGGGAAGGAGAGAGGGAGAACCTATACATGCATAGGTTAGCAAAACAGTCTACTTTCAGTTTGCCTAAGGTTAGCTGCGTGCCCCTTTCCAGACGTGCGGTCGAGTTTGTTTGGAGAAAGGTATTCAAAGATCAACAGAACCATCCCGAGCGAGCGAGCGCGCACATACACACCAGGCAAATTCAAGTCCATTGAAATGCAAGCCCGCCTCTCCCTCCCTAAGAAGCAAGAGAAAACGGCAAGACTTGGTGCCTAATTAAAAAAGCAAATGGATCCTCGCCCTATTCCTGCAGGCAACGCCGGGTGCCACAGGGCTAAGGGGGAGCTGCTGGCTACGTGAGGGAGGCACTCTCTCTCCCCTCCTTTTTAAGTCTGTAACTCATCAGAGATGGAGGAGGTGCGCTCTTTTTTCTTTGCTGCCGTTTCCTCTTGTCCCTGAGCTACCCACATAATGCACACATGGGAACAGCGCAATCCAGCCTAGAGCAGTTTAAAAAAAATTAAAGCAATAACCTAAAAATGCAAACAATACAGGAAGGAGGGAGCAGTGTCGCCTTGAAAGCACGGGGGGAGGGTCGGCTTATATCTGCCCCAAATCGCCCACTTGCAAACACACCAAACCCCTCCAAAGCCAGCAAAAGGAAGTTAAACAGCAACAAGCGGCATTCGCCGTGTCCATTCCTACACAAAGAGAATGGCACGGAAAACACAGCCAAAGAGGGGCGGAAAAGAGCTGCAGGAGTGGGGGAGGGGGGAGCCAGATCAAAGATTTCATTTTCTTCCGTTTGAATTCGAGAGAGCCAAATCACATGTCAGAAGTTCGCTACTTAGGAAGAAGCAGTATTTTCCACGAAAAAAATACACAAAATCAGCAAACACACGTACGGATTTCTCATCCACTGGGTCGAGAATGAGCTCGGATCTGGAGTTCCGAAAGGGAAGAAAGTAAGGTGGAGAGCAAAGTTAACCTCAGTCCAACCCCCATCCCTTTCTTTAAATCCCTACTCTTCTCGCCACACACAAAACAAACCGGGACTCCATCTTTTCTGCCTGTAACATCGTCGCTCTTACCCCCAGCTCTCCTCTTACGAATCCGTTCCATGGAGTGATCAAAAGGCAAGGCTTTGGATTAGCCGGGACAGGCACCCCCCACCCAGGGGAAAAGAGGGGTTCCCGAGGAGCCCCAGCGCTGGAAACAATCAGAGGGCGAGAGAAGCGCACACAAAAAGTTTCGCTCCGTGTCTCTCCCTGAGTGACAGATGCCTAGACAGAGTTTTCTTTGTTCCAAAAGAAACAGGAACTTGCGCAGCCCCCCCGTCTCCATCGCACGCGTTACCCCGGTTTTGCTCCAAACATAACCCGCCCCAGCTGTCATTTTATAAGCTCCGCAGGCGTAAAAAAGAAGGGGGGGGCAGAAGACTTAGCAAATTCATGAAATAAAATAAAGTATGTGAAGGGTATTTTGCGTGGGGGCGGGGAGGGAAACACATTTGTGGGAGAGAGGGAGGGAGGGAGAGAGGGAGGGAGGAGTTTGCAAAAGAGAAAATTGGGAAAGTTGCCATTTTGGGATCCAGAAAAAAGAATAACGTGTAAAAGTAGCGAAAAGGGGCGGGGAACGTAGAAGTATTTTTTAATTCAACTTTGAGGCTGGGGAAAGGGGAGAGAAAGAAGGACCGTCCATTCACAAAGGGAGAAGTAGGATCCGCTTTTGCTTTGTAATGTTGCAATAAATGTGACCGAACAAAAGATTCTCTTCCTTACTCCCTCGCCTCTCGCTCCCTCCCTCCCAGAAAAGAGGTGCAAGCGAAAAGCTCAGAAGGCATTTTTCATCCCCCTCTCCTCTCTTCCCTCGTGCTTTTCCTTCTCCTTGACCCATCCTGCCACCATATCGACTTTTTGCAAAGTTGAGGAGCTTTTGCAAGCCCAGAATCCGAGTCGGTGGCGCGCGCGCGCACACGCACACACAGACACCCGGCTCTCCACGAGGAAGCTGTATTCCCTACGCACTCAAAACTCTCCCCTTCCTGCGTGCGATTGCCTTTGGGAAAACAGATGCGCCTCGCCAAAGCTCGACCCCTTACGACTCCTTTCCGCCTTCGAGCGCTTCGCATGCTTTTGCAACAAAAACCAACCACCGGTAGCCACAGAAAGTTTTCTCGAGCAAGGAAGAAACGCGGAGGAGGGAAGGAAGCAAAGCCCATCCGAACAACTTCCCCGAGACTTACTTTTCCCTGTGGGCTTCATTTCGCCCCTTGCGCTGTTTCGCCCACCTTCCGCGCAGAGCGCTTTCGCCTCCTGGCTCCGCTCGGAGCGCAGCGAGCGCACGCCGCTGATGCCGGATCCTGGCTGGCGGCGGAGCTGGACCCTTCTTTGTGTGCGCGTGTGCGTGGAGCGGGGGCCCGCTCGAGAGGAGGGGTCTCGGCGCTGTTCAGCGGGTCTTTAATAGCTAACCTGCCACACGCTCTGACAGCTCGAGTTGGAAGCCACCTCTATGGGCTGACGTCAGAGCGCTCTCTTCCAGTGACTGCTCGGCTCCACGCATCAGGGCGCAGAGCCGGGCAGCCAGTTTAAGGCGGGCTCAGCTCTCCTCCCACTCCCCAAGATAATTTGAAAATGTGGGGGAGGGGGCACAGGCGGAAGGTGGGTGGTACTTACTCAGGACAAAAACAAAACCGACCTCCAACACTCCCGGAAAAAGGTGCAGGGCAGTAACTCCAGCTGAAATAAAAGTTTCAATTATTTAAAACTCGCACGCATCCCGCTATTACCAACCCGCTGCTTGTTCGTAGCTGATCAAAGACCTACGGCAAAATGCGGGTTTTCCTGGATAGGCATCAGTTGGCTGGAGGTGGTCGCTTTAAACCCGAAGCACCCCATTGTACATTTCCATTTTTAAAGCAGCTCCTCGCCTCTTTTAAGAATATAGTTCTTATCGCATGGTTCTCTTAGGAGGCAATCCTGTGCAGCCTTACCTGGGAAAGGTAAGGAAAGTGAGGTTTATTCTAAGGACATAGCAGGGGAGAAAGTCATGTCGGGGCTGACCTCTGAGTAGAACTTCTCGTCTCAGATTTTCCCTCTGGTCACATATTCTAGCAGCAGTAAGATACTCTCTGAGCAGGGTAGGAGAGTAATACTGAAATGTTTTGAGAGAGTCTTTGGAGAATTTACAAATATGTTTTCAGGAGCACAGCACCAAGTCAAGAAATGGTAATTTACAATACTATGGGAAATATTGTACAAGCATTGTTCCCTGAGTTGCAGCTCACAACCAGAATCCTGCAGTTATTAATTCCTTGATGTGTTCACTCAGAAGTCACCTCCATTAAATTCAAATGCCTTAGTACTGCCTTTCTAAGTAGTCTCTGGATTGCAACCTTAAGTTCTCTTGATATCAATGGAGTTTAAGCACACCTAATTGTGTGGATGAATCAAATAGTGCTATTAAGACCCTAAAAACTCTGCTACAATCTTGCATGTTATAATAAGGTTTTCAAACAAGGTGTTGCATGCATTATGAAATGAAAAGGGAGAGGGGGTATAGAGACAGAAGGTAATGGTCCAGCAATTCATTACTACTATTTAAGCTCAGCCTCCTTCCATGGAACTCAGCAGAACTTGGAAAGTTTGTCCTGGGAATATGTACTATTTCTATGAATCAAAGCCTTACTATGTAACAGTCAGTCATGCAGAGATAAATTTAACAGAACTTCAACTTTTCAGCAATTGGGAGAGGTGTGATTTGGAGTAGAAATGTATGAGGGAGTGTTTTCACTGCCCATCATTTCTCTCCAGCTCATCGTTGGAGACTTCCAAAACTCACAGCAAGCAAAACAATGACCAGGTGACCAGTGGTGCACACCACTGATAGGCAAGTCTCTTTTCTTTGGTTCTTTAACAGCAGGACTTGGACTGGATAGCCCTCCAACAGAGGACTGCCCTCTGTAACTAGGACCCATAAGCACCCTAGGCCAGCATCCCAAATAAGCACACAAGTTGCTTGCCCCCTCAGTTCCTATTCCTCCCATACCTGTGATAAATCTTGGAGGCTTAAAAGAAAAGATCCAGTTTATGCAAATTCAGGAAGTGTTTCCCTTTTAAGTCTCTTGCAAGAGGTCCTGCTGAAACTTCATGGATCAAGTTGACAATATATGTGGTAAAATGAGCATTTGCAGTCAGCAGCCTGCTTCATACTATGTGAAATGTGGACATAACACAATGTGTGGTATACCTAAGGCCAGCAACTGAATTGAACAAGAGCCCAGTCACTTAGAGCTCCACAAACATGTGAATATAAATGACACAAAAGGAATCCAACACTATCGAAGTGATGCTCCTTCTGCTAGACAGCCATTGTGAGAACTGATGTGCAGAGGCAATGCTAGGGGTGGCCCACTACAGCTGGAACTCTAAGTCTCTGGGAGCCCTTCTGCCCCACCGCCCTGCTATCCATGGGCAATTGCTGAAATAAAAGTATAGGGGTCCTGATAATCTTTCATCTTCTGCTGCCCTCCCCCAAATCTTTCCACCTGAGTTGGGTCCCCCCTCCCCCGAAATTCAGTGCCCTCCTCTTCTCTGTCCATACATTCCCTTTTAAAAACAGGGGTGTCCTTAGGAGACAGGTCCCTTAAAGAGACACAGAGAGAGGGAGAGAAGGACAGACTTTAGAATATCTGTAAATCAACATATAGGATTTGTGCTGGGTTTTTGTTTGTTGGTTGTTGTTTTGGCTCCTGTAGGTCTGAGCCCTGGATCTTTCAGGGCTGCCACCACCCCTACCAGTGTGCATTCATGCATATACACACACACTGCTTTGCACAGATGACACAGTGAAGTGGCACTTTATAAGCCTAGGTCAGGGCCATCCATAAGGTACAGCAGGTATCCCAGGCAAGAGAATGGGACATCAGTCAAGATAGTGTGAAGGTGTAAAACTGGAGTTCTTTCAGCTTGAGGGTCTGATTTTTCTGGCCTCCAGGCCTTCACTCCAGTGGTGGGTGGTTCTGAAGGCAAAAGGCGAAGGCAAAATACCAGCACAGCTTAGCCTAAAGCTCTTACTGTTAGTAACAAAACATGAAGAGGGGCATTTCCATCCTGGGGGGGGGGGGGTACACAAAAGCTGGGAAACCACTGAACACTCAGGGGAAGGGGTGGATTCCGGGGGGGGGAGGGGTGGCCTTCTGCGGACCTTCCTCTTTCCCAGGAGAAGGGGGGCAGTTGGTTCCCAGATCTGAATTTCTACAATATGTCCTTAAAAAGAATATTTACAGAAAAAATAGACTACTGAACTTTCCAACAACCCTGGTATAGCCTTTAAGGAAGCAGCAGGGGCTTCGAAAAGTCAGAAAGTTTTGTGCACTTTTCAGACTGTCCCTTGACAGATTTCCAGCTGTGAAGATAGGAGTCATGGGGAAGACCTCACCTATCAAGATTTTCCTCTTTACAGCTAGACAAGGCATGGGCCCTCTCTCATGAAAAAGGGAGCAAGCTTACCCACAACTGCATTGCTATATTGTGATACTGTTATAATACTATATTGTTATACTACATTTATTGAAAAAATGTGCATGCAGCATATACACTTTGCTAAACAAGCACTTGGTTTACCAAGCAGGCAAGGTGACAGTTTAACTTCCCATCCCCACTACCTCATAAATATGCCACAGAAAGCTGCACACCTGAAACCATTTTGAAGACAGACCTTTGGAACTTGCTTTGATGAAATGACTTGAAATTTGGTAATTTAAGTAGACTTTGCAGCAAGGACAGCCTTCTACTGATTCTTTTGAAATAGTATAAAGTCTAAACAAGCGATCAAGAGCCTACAAAAGAGGAACTTGCAATTCTCAAGCAAAAGTTCCTAGTTTGATTGGATTAGTCAGTTAAGAGAGTATACTCAAAGTAAGTTAAGGCAGATTGGGCTGGCTCGGTAATCCATCCCTCCCCAGCCTGGTACCTTCGAGATGTTGGTTTAGAGCATGGGTCCTCAAACTAAGGAAGGCCCAGGGGCCGGATCCAGCCCACCATGCCCATTTATCCGGCCTACCGCACGCGCCCACGTGCACACCTGCCACCGCCCACCTCACCCCGCGGGTAGTTTGCTCGCTTGGAGAAAACGAGCGATGTGCTCGCTGGGAGAAAATGATTTCCAAGTGAGCAAGCCACTGCCTCATGCGCCCACCTCGTGGCACGTGCCCACCCCCACCTCGCCTCCCCTCACCGTGCACGCCCGCCCATGCCTTGCCTCACTGCGCACCCTGCCCCCACCTCAGTGCGCATGCCCGCACCTGCTGTCCCTGCACCTGCCCCACGCCCTGCCGGCCCCACCTTTCCAGCCCACGCGCAGCACCGGCAGCTTTCTACTGGCCCCCTGGTAAAAAAGCTTGAGGACCCCTGGTTTAGAAAGGACTGGCTGGAGATGAGGGGAGTTGCCAGCACATCTTGAAGACACCCAGTTGGGGAAGGATGTGCTTCTTTTCACTGCGAGGGGGGGCTTTCACTGAGTGGGTTCACACATAACAAGAAATCAAATGATTACATTTCCCTGTGGGGTTTCTTACTGTGGTATCTGCTGCTGTAGCTTGTCATTACATGCAAACCTGGTGACAGTGGGTTGATTGGAAAGTTAACAACTCACACACAACCCTGTATGTTTCACCTAATCAACCACCCCAACAACTCACCCTTGCTGAGTTCCCACATAACAGGATAGGCATGTCAAAAGCAGAGCAAGCTGGAGCCCGGGGTCAGACTAGATGGCCTGGGAGGCCCTTCTGACTCACTCTATGTTTCTGTGTTACTTTAAAAGGGCACAATCTAAGCAGGATCAAGTTCTTTTGCAATGTTAGAAAAAGCAGCAGTTTGCAAATATCATTCAAGAATCCTGGTAATTTTTTCTTGACTTGCAGTTATTCTGTTAAAAGACTGTCATGGGAACAGAATTAGATTTGAATTCTTCCTGGGGTGTGTGAGTTAATTATCTTCATTGTGAATGCTGATGAATCTGAGTAAAAGTAGAGGGAAGTTGGTGAACAATTAGCTTCAGGCTAGCAAAGGTTTGAAAGAAGGGAGATCCAGAAAGAGAGATGCCCCCCTCCTCATGCACCTTCCATCTCTTTGGGCAGGAGAAGGGAGCTGAAAGAGTGGACAATGCATAGCAGAGATGAAGTAGATCTCAGGCACTTCATCTTTTCATCAACAAGTGACCTAAAGACATTGAAGAGCCTCTGACAGAAGTGAAGATACTAATTAGACATGTAGCTGCGTGATACCATTTGCTGTGCAAATGCTCTTTCAAATTGGTTT